AGGGATTAAAATCAGATTAAAATTGAAAAAATAGCCGTTATTGTTGACTTTTATTAGACGAGTGGGACCCAATAACGGCCATATTTTCAATTTTAATTGGATTTTAATCCCTACCGAATGGGGCCTTAGCAGTTCTATTTAAAGCAAGGACCTAGAAAAGAAATCCAAAAATCAATTTCACAGCTAGTCTGCATCCATCAATTATGTTGGAAAGACACACCCAAACATATTGATCTCAGGTCATTTTCTTCATATCAACCATATTTGTACAACTAATCGCTTCAAGAAAACTAGAAGTAAAGAAAATCAGGTTGTCTACATACAGCTCGCATGTTTGCATAGCCACGATCCAAGTTGGGTCCTTCAAGACTACGTAAAGCCTTAGTCAGCCACTCACAAGCTTCAATATTTTGAAGCATGCGCGCTTCATCAAATGAACCTCCTGTTAAAGATGTTGCATACTGCGATTGAAAAACAAAAGGTCAAGTGTGAAGATCACCTTATATAACCTAATAAAGTCCATTTTAAAATCTAAATGATGAAAGTAATAACAGGAACCTCGGAAGGGATGCATAATCTTTCAAGAAGCTTATCGAGTTCCTCAATTAATGATTTGTTGTTGACAGACTGCATTTCCAGTTTATTATTACGTACTTCAATCTACATATCCACGAAAACATTGCACAGCATGAGCAACATAGAGCCAAGCACTTAGTTCCAAGATGTCTCACAACAAGGAACATTGTTACCCTTAAATCAAATAATCGAATTATCTAAATACAAGAAACAAAATTAATGACTACGTTTCTGCCAAACCTACATAAAACTCAGAAGCAAATAGAGGCAGACAACATGGTATAGCTATACAAATGAGATGAAGTATATATATGAAAAGAACACGTGATAATACTAAATATACACTTCTAAGCAAATAGCAATATGCAGAGAGATCCATACTGATTCTATGTCCTCTCTCATGTGTCGAAGTTTTAGATTAAAAATTCCCAACCATTCATCCATGTCCTCAACACAATTACTTGCTGACTCAAGCCCCTGCAACACCTGCAGAACCCAGAAACAGATAACTAAGAATTCTTATACAGCAATCAACTTATAAGTTATATAAAAATAAATTAATTAATTAAAACTCAAAATATAATCCATATACCACCGAAAATATGTTCAAAACAAAGGACTCATAAAAATTGGTCAATATCTGAAACCATAGTTTGAAAAAACGTAAACGGGTACCGAGGCCTTTTTTTGTAATGAGGCGAGGCGTAAGCCTCAAAACCTTTTGAGGCGTAAGCCTCACCACAAACAAAACAGGTGCAATTTGCCGAACAAAATAGGTGCAATCTGGTGACGATGCACTGAACAAGAAAAAAGTCAAGTAAAGTCT